TTATTAAACACTGCTATTATAAACTTTTCCCTTAAAAATGCTTATTAAACATAAGTAGGAGTTGAAAATCATTTTGTCTTTGGATGACTCTTTGCTTTCTTTTGGTGTTAGGTTATCCCTAAATCATTATTAATTGCTATTACTAGACACTGTGGGTTCATCAGTTTTTTTCTTTTTCATTTCTTGTTGGGTTTTTTTTTGGCAGCTGGCCAGTACAGGGGTCCAAACACTTGACCTTGGTGTTATAATACCATGCTCTAATCAACTGAGCTAACCAGCCAACCCTGCCTTTCTTTTTTTATGTATCTGTTTTTTTCCCCCTCAGCTGGCCAGTGCAAGGATCAGAATTTTTTTTCATTTCTAGTGTATTTTAATATTTTTATTTTTAATGGTATGGGCAGAGGGAAGATAGATTACTTTAATTGGATAAACTTTTTCTTTAATGAAGATAAGTCATAGGTGAGTGATAAAGAAAAAAGAGGTAGGCTTTAGATGCACAGAAGACTGAGTTTAATTCCTAGCTTTCGCACTTGGTAGGATGTGACCTTGGGAACATTACTTATCACCAACTATGTTTTCTGATGTGAAAAGTAGGATAATAATGTATTCTTCAAGGGTGGTTGTAAGTCAGTAAGATTATATATGTAGCATTTAATTACATGCCGGGTACATGCTTGTCAGCATCCTTAACTGAAACTACTATGACTATTATTATTACCATTATTAATAGTATTGTTTTAAGACTGGAAATAGCTTTACCTATCTGACCCCTAGCTGACTTTGAATCGCAATGTATTGTATTAGAGTAGGGAAAAAAAGGAGAATATTCCATTTAAATCCTTATCTACTTCAAATAAGTGACCTCAGCATAGTTTGTTGTCCATCAGAGGACTTTCAGTTAGCACTTTCTACTATGTAATACCCCAGTGGGACAACGAGGCCTCCTTTTTGTCCCTTCCTTTTAGCCTTTGAGGTGATTTACAAAGGTGAGTACCAAAGATGCTTATCTCTGTTAGTATGTGTAAATGGCCAATTCTACACAGATGCGCATGAGATTAAATTGGTAAAATATGGCAAATTAGTTGTTTAAATACCTTTTTTAATGTTCATAAGGGTGAAATTCTCTCTGTGTTATTTTATTACAGCCCTCATGCTTGCTGTAATTATGAATCAACTAATATAGTTAGTCTTCTTCTTGAGCAAGGTATTGATGCCTTTTCTAAAGATAACTTAGAATGGATAACAGAAGAATATGCTGTTTCTAGTGGTTCTAATATGTCAGTTTTTGCATTAAAATGCCAGTTAACACTAAATTGAGGTTTAAAGTACTTTTAACTATCACATCTTATACATCAGGTGAGATTTCATAGCTTGGTTCAGCTAGTTTTGGAATAGCAATGAGTTAGTCTGCTTCATCAGCCAGAAACCAAGCAAAAGGCTAGACAAGTTAGAAGTAGCAATGGGTGTGGGATTCTTTATCTCAGGACTTTTTTTTTTTTTGTCTTTTTTGTCTTTTTTTTTTTTTTTTTTTGTCTTTTGTCTTTTTTCCGTGTCCGGCAACAGATCGCAACCCTCAGTGTTGCCCCCGTACCGGACTGGGGCCCGGCAACGGGACTTTTTTGTCTTTTTTTTTTTTTTTTTGTCTTTTGTCTTTTTTCCGTGTCCGGCAACAGATCGCAACCCTCAGTGTTGCCCCCGTACCGGACTGGGGCCCGGCAACGGGACTTTTTTGTCTTTTTTTTTTTTTTTTTGTCTTTTGTCTTTTTTCCGTGTCCGGCAACAGATCGCAACCCTCAGTGTTGCCCCCGTACCGGACTGGGGCCCGGCAACGGGACTTTTTTGTCTTTTTTTTTTTTTTTTTGTCTTTTGTCTTTTTTCCGTGTCCGGCAACAGATCGCAACCCTCAGTGTTGCCCCCGTACCGGACTGGGGCCCGGCAACGGGACTTTTTTGTCTTTTTTTTTTTTTTTTTGTCTTTTGTCTTTTTTCCGTGTCCGGCAACAGATCGCAACCCTCAGTGTTGCGCCCGCACCGCGCTCAGCCAGTGAGCGGGAACTGGTCTCCACGTGGGATCCGACCCTCAGCGGGAGCGCCGCCACGCTCCCAAGCGGCGCACTCTCCAGTGCACCACCGGGTCGGCCCTATCTCAGGACTTTTAAGACCTTTATCTTTAGGGATACCAATGTTATCCATTTCATTTCGAGTATAATTGCTATGCATGGGGTACAAATAGTTTCACATGTTTGATTTTCCTGATTAGTTATTTGGGTCTTTAAATGTCCAGTTTGACAGAAAATCTTCTACTTTTCTTGGTGGCTATGTCATACACTCTCCTCCTTGAATTCTCCAAAAATCTATAGGGTTCCGTAAGTCCAAGGAGGAGAATCCACTTTCACAAGTCAGACTGAGGGGGAGAAAAGGACATTCAGATCATTCTATTGTTTCTGTTGATTCTGTTGCTGCAGTGTTGCTATTGAAACTAGTCCTGCAGTCCAGTAATGATTGACCTTTGCTACCACGATGCCCTTACTGATCCAGATCCCTCAGTCTTCATGATGATCAATATTTAGACTCCAGAGTTACAACTTCTTTTAGTTAACATATATATGCTTATGTGATCAGCCATTGTTCCCAAAGCACCAGCTTCCTGCTCTGGCAGCTGGGCTTCCTAGCTTTAGCCACAAACATAGTGAGTGGAGGGACCCTCCCCCTGATACTCAAAATCTCATGCAGAGCCCTTATCTTAGCCTAGACCTTCATGGTGAGTTATCCTTTGAGGTCCTTGTTTGTGTTTTCTCCTCACAGATATTAGTTGGGATTGTTCTAAATTGTCAGACAGATTCAAATGATTTTGCAGGAAGAGAGCAGTTTTCTTTCTTCTTTGCTATCAGATCTGTACCCCAAAGCCCCTTTAGATTGTGTGTAGTACATTTTCTTAGGTTGTGGAAGGTCCTATATTGTCCTTCTGCAGAGTAGTCGATGCCAACTTACTGTTGGCCCCTCAAGTGATCTGTTTGCTATAATAATGAAAATCTCTCAAGCTAATTGTATCTCTACCTCAGGTTTTCAAAATACTTTCAAATTCTGCCTCATAAAGAAGCAATTCAGTAGAATTCTCTGAATTTAAAGTAGGTTAGTTGGATTTAAGAGAGCTAAGCCCCATCCATGACTCTTCAGTATCCATGCATAAAAGTAGGGTTTTGTGTTCACTTCGGCAGCACCTGCACTAAAATTGGAATGATACAGAGAAGACTGGCATGGCCTGTGTGCAAGGATGACATGTACATTCGTGAAACATTCCATATTTTGTGCAGTCCCCCGAAGGTTATTTGAGTATTTGCTGACTAGCTCCAAGGAAAGAGTGTGAGTCAAAATGGGTGATACCCAATATTGCAATTAGGATTTTCACTACAAAAATATTCTGTACATTCGTGAAACATTCCATATTTTGTGCAGTCCCCCGAAGGTTATTTGAGTATTTGCTGACTAGCTCCAAGGAAACAGTGTGAGTCAAAATGGGTGATACCCAATATTGCAATTAGGATTTTCACTACAAAAATATTCATGAGAGGTGATCTATGAAATGAGAATGAAGCTGAGTTACACATGGAATGTTGTGTGCTAATATGTCCTTAGTACACATCTTGGAAATGAGAAATGTTAATTGTGTTGCCTGTGTTCAACTAAAAAAAAGGAAATAAATGTAGTTTTTTGTCCTCTAAGTTAGTTGGAGATGAACATGGAGTTTAAGCATCATTCTAAGAAAGATCTACTGGTTCAGAGTTTGAGTAGATAGAGAAGGAATAGCAGTAGTCCAAGCCAGGTCTTGACATCTATTAGTTTTCTGCCCTTAATGTGATTGATTAACTCACTATTAGGGGACTATTATGTTATCTTGTTTAATGAGACAATATATTTATAAATAAATTTAGTTACAAATTATAAAACAGCTGAGATGCTCTGAATTATAATCTGCAAAGGACAGAATAGCTAACATCCAAAATTAGGACTTAATAACATTTTCTGAAAACTGCAACATTAGAATATTAGAACCTATGAGAAAATACATCTTGGGTTTTATTTGGGATTCCAAAATGATTTCAGCAATAAAGTTCACAAACAAATCATTTCATTACTTCACTATTTCCCTGAGTATTTAAAAAATATTATCTTATTAAATCTTTATAACAATCTAGTGAAATAAGGCAGTAAAATCCTTGTTTTTTAACAGAAACATTGAGCCTATGAGAAGTGATTTGTCCAAGAACAAATATCTATTGGCTACAGAGCTAGAATTTTTCCTGAGTTCAGGACACTTTCCATTATGTCCAGCTAACTCTAGTTAATTTATTGCATTATACTGCTCTCAATTCATGACTACTTCACCCTACATTTTTTCTTCTTTAATTATAAGCTTAATAAAAAGTTTGTAGAGCTTACAAATTTGAAGTATATGGCATAATTAAAGTTCTGATATTTGCTCAATATTGTCTGAAGTACTCTAAGACTATATTTGGTAAATGTTTTTTCCTATCAGTATTTGTATTAGTCCATTTCTGTTGCTTATAATAGAAATACCTGAAACTGGATAATTTGTAAAGAAACAGTATTTATTGCGTATAGTTTCAGAGGCTGGGAAGTCCAAATCCAGGTAATACATCTGGTGAGGGTCTTGTTGGTGGTGATGCTACAGTGACACAGGGTATCCCATGGTGGATGGTTGGCAAGAGAGAGAGCTTCTCTTGCACTCTCCTTTTAAAGCCATCAGAACCATGCCCATGACGACCACTAAACCATCAGTGGATTAATTCATTCCCTAGGGCATAGTCCTCATAATCTAATCACCTCTTAAAAGCCCCACCTTTCAATTACCACAATAGGATTTTCCAGCCTCTTAACACTGTCACAGTGGGGTGAAGTCTCAATGAGCTTTGGGGGGACATCCAATCCACAGAAGTATTAAAATAATAATTTTATTTATCATGTTTTTTTCATACATAGCGATTGCCGACTAATTTCTAAATATAAAGAAGATCAGCAACTTAAAGATTCTTCTCAAAATAGCAATCCAGGTAAGATTTCTGATAGGGAACTGATCTTTGTGGTCCTACCATGGATACAAAAAGTATGAGTAAGGAAGTTTTTATTACAAAAGAGCAGTTTAAAAAAAATTAATGTGTACATTACATGTGTATTTTTTCTTAATATTTTTCTTAATCTAGTATTCAGAATTATTTAAGAAGTTAATTGTAGGTAATTTATAATCTGAAGCAGTGTTGTCTGAAAAAAACTTCTTTATTTAATTATGGCTCCCAAAATCCTCTATGATATTTTTGTGTAAGTGAGAAAAAACATTTTTAAGTTAGTATGCTGTATGTTGCCTCTGTTATCACATTATTACCAGTTGGGCTTCTCATAAAAGTAGATCTTTAATTTTTACAATAAATGGAGTGTATTTAGTAAACAAATATCAATTATTACATATTAATATGTGTCACTAGAAAATTAACTGTCTTTAAGATTCGGAGCTCAACAATATGTTTCTGGTACCATAAACAAATGGCAATAAGAATTACAAAACTTAGCCAATGTGCACCAATACCAAGGTAGATTGTTTTTTGAAAATACCTCCTAATTACAGAAGTTAGAAAAGCAATTCCTCATTGAGAAGCACAGATTATGTTACATATTCTTATACCAATAAGGCCTCCCTATTATCGACTTCATTCCTGAGAAGTTTAAACCAAACGAGTTATATTTACTTTATTAGAACAAGATGTTTTCGGGCCGGCATGGTGGCGCACTGCTACAGTGCGCCGCTTGGGAGTGCGGCGGTGCTCCCGCCGAGGGTTCGGATCCCACATACAGACCGGTTCCCGCTCACTGGCTGAGCGAGGTGTGGGTGCAACGCTGAGGGTTGCGATCCCGTTGCCGGTCCCGGTCCGGTATGGGTGTGACAGTGAGGGTTGCGATCCGTTGCCGGACACGAAAAAAGACAAAAAGGAAAAAAGAAAAAAAAAAAAAAGAACAAGATGTTTTCTTCTGTCTGTTGGATAATTGACACAATAACAGTAATTTTGTTAGAACAAGATATCCTGTTACCATTAGCCAAAAGATTATTGTAATATGGTATAAAGAAGGGATCAATTGTGAAACTTTTTCTATAAAGAGTCAGTAAATATTTTAGGTCATGTGGTCTCTGTCACATCAATGCAACACTGCCATTGTAGTGTGAAAGCAGTCATTGGTAATATGTAAGCAAATAGGCATGACTGTGCTCCATAAAACCTTATTTGCGAAACCAAATGTCCAGCCTAATTTTGCCAGTGGGCTGTAATTTGCTTACCCCTCCTATAGAGGATAGTTGTCAGGTAACCACGTATAGAGTCTGGGAGACAAAGAAAGCTTTTGCAGTAGTCAAAGTCATAGCTTCCTTGTTACCAGTCCTATCAGTCTATTGTGAAGTTTTCACCCGTCCATGGTGAAATAAAGTTAGGAAGCTCAGTTCATTCTTTTAAAAATGTTGGTGTTTTTCTTGGTGTTATGATGTTTTCATTTATTTTGCTTTAAAAAATTTTAGGACATAACAATAATAGTAGTGGGTTTTTTTTTTTGTTTTTTTTTTCCTGTGAAAGCCATCAGTTAAGAGCCCATGTTTAACTAGGACAGTGTCAGTGGAAATATAAAGCAGAGGTAGAAAACAGGTATAGTGAATATGATTCAGTGATTTTTGAATGTAAAAAGTTGGAGGGCAGAGAGAGAGATCTAGGATGATTCACAGGTTATTCTCTAATGTTTAAACTGGGCATGAGAAATGAGTAGGAAATTGTCAGATGAATAGAGAAGAGCAGCAGGTCAACAGGGAAGACTAACTTCTATATACATGTTATGTTTAGTAGAATATTCACATATATTCAGTAACTAATTGTATAATAGGCATTTCTAGCTAGAGGAAAGAAAAATTCTAAGGTTGGAGATGCAGGCTTGGAATAATCTTATTATCCTTATAATCATTAGGAAAAGTCATAGGTCTGAATGAGCTTGTTCATGGTGGGGAATGTGTAGAATGAGAAGATGGCCAGTGACAAAATCCTGGGAATATCACCATTTAAGGGGTGGACTGAGCAAAGAGTTAGTAAAGAAGACTGAGCAGTAGCTAGAGAAAGTAGGAGAGGAATCAGAGAAAGTGATGTTGCAAAAAAAAAAAGATTGTTACAATTTCGAGGAGGGAGTATCAATTCTATCAAGTAAGGTTAGTGAATAGTTATAATATGCAGAATATATTAGTTCTCAGTATTTTGGTAATTTCTGGTGACATCAGTAGAAAAGTTAGTACCTGACTACATTTGTTAGTGCTCTTTCTCTTAATTCTTTTTCATTTGCCTTCTTCTGATATGTCTGTTTTTACTACTTCTTTTTGAATTTCATCCCTAAGGAACATTGTCTTGGAACCTACTACTATTAGAACACATTACTAGCATATGTATGTTTGACAGATGTGTGTATTTCCTTCAAAGATAGTTAGCTACCTATCCTAAAGTTAATCTGGTGTTCTGTTAGTTTCTTATGATAAACTTTAATATCTGTACTACACTGACAGTGTTACTGATGATTGTATGCCAAGATTTTAAATCCAGAAAGTGTCTTCTGGATTGTCAAGTACAAATTAAGTTTTTTGTTTTCTTTTGTTTTTGTGGCTGGCTGGTATGGGGATCCCAACCCTTTACCTTGGTGTTAACAGTACCATGCTCTCCCAAGTAAGCTAACCCGCCAGCTGCCCCCAAATTAAGTTTAACTGGTATAGTTTTAATGTGAAGTGCTTTTAATGGTGTTATATTTCTTCAGAAATTGGTGATCTGTGTTTTATCTGAATATGTGATCAATTGGATCACAACACTTTTTACCATTTATATATAACTAACTTTTTTCCTTCCAAATAAGTTAAAAGTCCTATTATCCTTACTGATCAAATCCACTATTTTGGGGGTGGAGTGGATAACTTATCCTATATTTTGGATACAATTTTTTTGATTGTAACTTTTTTCCTTCCAAATAAGTTAAAAGTCCTATTATCCTTACTGATCAAGTCCACTATTTTGGGGGTGGAGTGGATAACTTATCCTATATTTTGGATACAATTTTTTTGATTTGTTCTGCAAAGAACTGCTTAAATAGGTGAACTGTGTTTTAGGTGTATAAGAAATTAAGAAAAAGATTAGAAACAAATAGAAGAAACTCTATTTATATTCTATAATAGAAGGAACATTATTATACTATATAGAATGACTATATGTTTTTCTAAAAGTATCCCCCTCCCCCAAATAAAATATCCCAGTTACCTGATTGATGCATAAGTATTATACATGTTGCTTTGCCTCCCATGGATTTGTCACCTCTTTTCCCCTCGGTGACAGAGCCACCAAAGATTACTCAAAGCCCATCTCTTCTGAGCAGTAAGAAGCCCCGAAAGGGGTTAATCTCCTGGAACCCTTAAGAAAGAGGCATTCCTTCCATTTGGGAAATTAACCCCGAATTGGGGTTCTCCCCGCATTTATTCTCCAAACCAGGAAGTTACAGGAAGACAACATAAGTGGGGTTTTTGCTACGTATAGTTTAACAAGTTTAACAATAGAAGCTGGTAACATTCAGTAAAACAAACAAGGTGATGTTCCATAATGCAAGTTGCAAGAAGTTAAGTCAATCCACCAACAAAAGCTTGATTTTAGCAAACATTCTCTCTCCTTACAGCAATTTCCTAGTATCTTTACAGATTAGTCAGTAACCTGTCTTTGAGCCAGCCACCTTGTTGTGTTACAATTCTTTATCTTACAACAGAGACTATAGCCTGGGGGAAATTTCCTGTCTTTT